GATTAGAAATAGGGGTAGAGAACAGCCTAGGACACAATGGATGCTCACTAAGTGATGGCTGACTCAGCAGTGAGGCTCCCCAGGGCCGACCCTTTGGCCCCAGCCCACCTTGGCTGTGTCATCCTGCACGGCCATGAAGTTCAAGAATGTTGTATTCACTGGGTCTGGCCCGGCCACCACTGTCATCAACTTCTCCTCCAGCCGGGTGTCAGGGCCTCCAAAGCCCAGCACCTCTCGGATCTTGGGGTCCTGAGTAGTTGAAAGCCAAGGGTAAAGAGGGGTCCCCCCAAGGCTTCGCTCCCACCCTCGGTCCGGGACCCCATCACTCACCTTGGGCAGGCGGGCATAACGGCCCGTCCGCGTGTCCCTGATGGAACTGATGTCCAGGGTGTCCACCTCCTGGGGAAACCAGATGCCAGAGTAGGTCTCAGAGGCTATGGGGCGGGAGCCAGGGGCCCCCAAGATCTGCCCCCTGGGCCAGGGAGTAGCTACCCCCTGCTGTAGCCCCAGCCTCAGCCCCCGCCCTTAGCACTTCCTGTCCAGGGAGCCGTGGGAGAGGTCAGCCAGCAGCTGGGCCCCACCCTCCTGGGTGGGTAGGAGGGATTCAAGGGTCGGGGCCAGGGGTCCTAGACCTGAGCAAGTTGTACCAGTGCCCACCCTCACCATGTTGGGTCCTGTCCAGTACAGGAAGAAGCCATTGGGGTCCACACGCAGGGTCACCAGGTTCCGACTGGAAGCCTCCTGGGGACGGGACGGGAAAGCAGGGGTCAGTGAGTGAGGGCTGTGGCCCAGGCTTGATCCCTGGACTCCCTCCGGCCATCCACCCCAGTGCTCCTGCCACTGAGTGAAAACGAAGCCTCATCCAGCCCACAGGTCCTTTGCGGTTTCCTACGGTTCTTGGATAAAGCTCACGCGACTGTCCCTGGCGTGACATTTGGGGTCCTAATGCCCCTCCCGCCCTCACCTGTATCCTACTCTAAGACTCAGTCACAGGGACCACTGACTCCCTTTCCCGTCCTCCAGCTTTTCCACTGTTGCTCCTCTGCTAGGATATCCTCTCCTTCCTTCTCTACCCATGAAATCTGACCCCCCCTCCCCAGACCCCAACCCTGGGCTCAATTTCCTCAGAGGGTCTGACAGCTCCCTAGTGGTCGGAGGCCCCTGGAGCCCCCTGCAGAATATTTACGGAATGAAAGCAGAGGGTTTGGAAGTCTGACTTCCACAGCTTTTGTTTGTGTCCCTCAGGGCCTCATGACAACCAGTCAGCCCTTACATCTGCCTCAAAGCCCATGACCCACCCCCCCCCCAACCCTGCACCCAACTGGAGTCTCACAGTCTTGTGGCTCCCCCTACCTTACAGGACACAGACTGAGTCCCCCCAGAAGGGGACTCACCCTGTCCTTGGGACTAGACGGTGAATTCTGTCTTCCCTTCCCTCAAACAACCCTGCAGCTGGCAGAAAGACAAGGAAGGGTATGCCAGCTCCATTTTCTGAGGAGGATCTGGTCCCTGGCACACTCCCAGGGCCACCCTTGTGCGACTCAGGCCAGGACGAGCAGCCAGAGCTGGGGGGAGGGTCATCCAGACCAAGTGGCCCTCTATGAGCTCACTCAGTCCTCCTAACAACCTTATGAAGTCCGTGCTATCCTACTTCCCATTTAACAGATGAGGATTCCGAGGCACAGGGAGGCGAGGTGCTTGCTTAAGGTCAAAAGGAGGTGCTAGGACCTGCTCGCAGGCAGTATGGCTCCAGAGTCCCATGGCCTGGGCAGCAAGGAAGCAAGACTCCTGCTAGGCTCTCAGCTCGTGGCCTCAGCTGCCACCCCATTATGGGGACCGGAGTTAGTCTCTACTTTCCAGACTCAGTTTCCTTTTCTGGAGAATGGATCTGCAACCAGCCCCGCCCATCTCTTTGCTTACAAAGGACAGGAGGCCTTGGAACTTTAGGGATGCGGGGACCTCCCCGCCTCACTGTGCTGACGCCCATCGTCAGCCCCTCTCTGGGGTTCTCAACCTTGCCCTGGGGCTCAGGTCCCCCAGTAGTGTGAGGAGAGGGGAGTTCTGTGGGTACCGACCCCAGGGCCTTCCCCTGCCCCTTCCCTGGTGTCTGGCCTTCAAAAACAGTCCAGGCCCCCTGCTCTTCAGCCCCAAGTCCCAGTCAGCAACCCCCACCCCACCCCCAGGGCCCTCTCCCAGTTCCCACTTCCTTATTTGGGTTTATCACACTGGAAGGAAAAGAAGAAACTTTTCCCTTGCGCGAGACTGGGGGGAGGGGTCTCCTCTGGTCCCTGGAGTTCCCAGGCACCCCTCTAAGGCACACCTGCTGCCTCAGGCCACGCCCCCAGCCCCTCCCCCCAGCTCCCACGCCTACCCGCCCCACCCAGCCGGAAAGGAGCTCAGAGTCTTCCAGGCCTCTGGCCTGACTGGGAAGGAGCAGCGGGGAGGCTCAGGCAGGCGGGGTGGAGGCCCTGGGGAAGGAGGGGCCCAGGGGGGCAGAGGAGGGGGCGGTGTAAAAACGAGGGTGGGGCGCAGGAAGGGGCGGGGAGCTGCAGGTGGGGGCCGGGGCCTCTAGGAAGCACCAGGGGCAGGGGCGGTAGAAAGGGGGGCCAGGATTTATTGGGTTTCAAAGTCCCTGATGCTAAGAAGTGGAGAGCAAAGTTCCCCAGGAGTGGAGGAACTTGGGGGGCAAAGACTCCACTAGGGGGTGACTTGGTGCTCTCTCCTGAGCCTTGAGCTGGGATGGGCTCCTGAAGCAGGGCAAAAGGGTGCAGCAAGAATAGGGTGAAAAAGTGATGAATGGAGAACAATGTTCAGGCTAGGGTACTAGGAAGAATGGGGGTGCGCTGAGCCAGATTGGGGGCCAGGGTCCTCCAGCCAGAGTCTAGTGCTGGGCAATGGTCTGGGGACCAGGCCGGGGTTGGGGGAACCAGAATTAGACCGGGAGGGAGGGGTGGAAAGAGCGAGTGAAAA